GGTGTGATATTTTTATTGCCAAAGGTTGTTGAGGCTAAAACCATCAAACAATATAGGCCTATCTGTTTGCAGAATGTTATTTTGAAAATCTTGACAAAGACAATCAATGGACTCAAACAACATTCATTCCTGGGAGGAATATTCTTGAGCGGTGTGTCATCCTGCATAAGTTGCAAAGAAAGGGTGACATGGGGATTATCTTTAAGATTGATTTTGACAAGGCATATGATAGAGTTAATTGGAACTTTCTGTATGAGGTGATGAGAAAGAAGAATTTTAGTGATTAGTTTATTGGTTGGGTGAAGAAGATAACAGAAGGTGGCAGAGTGAGTATCAATATACCTTTCTTTAAGACCCATAGAGGGCTTAGGCAGGGGGACCCTTTGTCCCCTCTGTTATTCAATCTGGTGGGTGATGCTTTGGCAGCTGTCCTTGAAAGTGCAAAAACAAATGGGGTTTTAGAAGGTTTGGTGTCTAATCTAGTGCCTAGGGGTTTAACTCATTTTCAATATGCTGATGATACTATTTTTTTTTATCAAGAATGAGGAGTACAACATTAGGGTGCTGAAATTTCTATTGTTTTGTTTTGAGAAAATGTTTGGGATGAAAATTAACTATCAAAAGAGTGAGGTTTATGTTCTGGGAGTTAGTAAGGAGGAGGAATTGAGAGTTGCTAATATGCTGAATTATAAAGTGGGTAGTTTACCTTTTACTTACTTGGGGCTTCCTATGGTGGTTGAGAAGATATGAATGAAAGATTTGTGTTACATTACTCAGAAAGTTGATAAGAGGTTGTAGTCCTGGAAAAGTGGTTACCTTTCTTATGGAGGAAGAGAAATTAAAATTAACTCTTGCCTGTCAAGTGCCCCTATGTATGCAATGGGTTTTTACCATCTACCTGAGAAGTTTCATAAGATAATGGACTCTATAAGAAGTAGGTTCTACTAGTAGGGTTTGGGGAAAAAAAGAAGTACCATATGCTGAAATGGAAAGCTCTAATCAGACCAAAGGAGTTTGGGGGTTTCGGTTTTCTAGATACTAGGGTGATGAATCTGTGTTTGCTAAGCAAATGGATCATGAGAATTGAGAATGGAGATCATGATATGTGTTTACAAGTTCTGAGAAGGAAATACATGGTCCAGCCTAGTTTTTTTTTAGAGTTCTCCTGGGGGGGAGGGGGTTCCAGTTTTCGAAGGGTTTGCATGACTATAAGGGTTGGCTGGAAAGGTTAGTGGTTAAAAAAGTTCATCAGGGAGGGTGTGTGAAATTCTGGAGGGATGTTTGGCTGGGTCAGGTACCCTTGAAAGTTGCTTTCCTTGAGTTGTTTGACATAAGTTATCATCAAGAAGCGACTGTGAGTGAATTATGGGAGAATGGGACTTGGAATTTGGAGTTTAGAAGGAATCTAGATGATAACAGTGGTCAAGATTTAATTAGGTTGAGAGGCCTTTTAAATGAATATAATCTGGATGGTAGAGCAGATAGAGTGGTTTGGCCTAACACCAGCAACAAGATCTTTAATGTGAGATCGATGTATAGATTGATCACTTTTGGGGGTGTTAAAGATTCTGAAATGATGAGTATTTGGAAGAGTAAAATTCCTCAAAAGATCAAGCATTTCTTGTATATGGCAGGAAAAGGGAGACTACCATGTTCTACTCAATTGGTTAAAAGGAAGTGGAGAGGGGGAGATGAGTTGTGTAAGCTATGTGGTAAAAAAGAAACCTCGAACCATATCCTCTTTATGTGCCCTTTAGCTAGTTTTACTTGGTGTGTCATTAGGGATGCTCTTGGCTTGGACAAAAGACCAAGTAATATCAGTGAGGGTTTGGATTTGGTTAAGGGGAAGAAAATGAATAGGGTTTGGGGTGGTGCTTCTGGCTACTGTGTGTTGGGCGTTGTGGTTGGTTAGGAACGATTGGGTTTTTGAAAATGTGTTGATTAAATCCCCTTTGCATATTGTTTACAAAACTCTTTCTTTTGTTCAGAAATGGTGTATCATGCTAAAAGGGGAGGAGCAAGGTATCTTGGAAGGATGGTGTGATCGTCTGCTGGAAAAAATGGGACAACTGAAGACAAATCGATTGCCTGAAGATTTGTAACTGTGTAGTTCAGTTGGCCCTTACCTACGCCTCATGGGAAAGACAGCCTGTGTGCTGAACTGTGTTTTTCTGTTTTTTAATAAGACTGTTTGTCTGTTGGGCTTTCTTTCAAAGCCAGGTCAATATAATTGATCTGTTTCAAAAAAAAAACAAGAAGACGCAGCACCTGCCGCGCGAGGGAGGTGCCATCCGCCGTGGCGCACGCCTCCTCCTCCAAGTCATCACAGATTCCCTCAAGCTTGGCATCGTCGACGGCGGAGACATCGGTTGCGGTGGCGGGGAACGTCATCTTCTTCCGTGCAGTGTCCTCGAGCCCTAACGAGACATCTCGGAGCATAATCCCAAGCGGGCGTGCCCTCACAAGGGCCCGAGCATCCACTGCATGATGCGCCAGTTGATGTCCACTGCCTCCGTCAAGGCGGAGAGGATGCGTCCGGCCTCGTCCTGACGGTTGAGAGATCGGACCTCGACATCAACGCCGCCGACGGCCGCAAGGTCCGCCATGGCATTCTCAACCTGCTCCAGCGATGACACTAGTACAGTAGATACCAACACGGAGGTGGGAGAGGCCGAGGAACCGAGGCTCGAGGCCGACAACGAGGAGACAGAGGCAGAGGCAGAGGTAGAGGCAAAGTGCACCGCGGAGATTGGGGTTGAGGAGCTCGCCGTGGCGGCAGTGTCAAGGAGTGCGCCTAGGAAGGCGAACCGGTGGGAATCGAGGCGGAGGCAGAGTTCGCCAAGGCTGTCAGGGTAGCAAAGCTCACCACGGCGATCGCGGTAGTGGAGCGCATTGCGAGGCGGTCGAGGTTGAGGAGCTCGGCGCGGCGGTCGTGGTTGAGGGCCCCACAAGTCAGAGGCCTTGGCTGTCTCGCAGTCCACGTGACCATCGCCATTGTTCCTCACTGTTGGATAGTATAGAGAGAGGAGAATACTGCGTAACGTGGATTGATTGTATTGAGCCTCTGGGGGCCGGTATATGTAGGAGTACGTGGGGAGGAGATAAGGAACGATTACAGATTTGGAAGGAGTTCACACAAATCAATCATATCCTAATATGACTCTAACTACCATATACTCGAACATCCCCCCGCAGTCCATGCATGAGCAGCGCGGACACTTGGACTGAAGAAAAAACCAGCAAGAATACTCAACACGATGATAGCCCTTTATGCCATAGTCGATGTAGATAAAGCAAAGGAGCCGAGAGAGCCGTGGTCGATGAAGCCGTGCGTAGACTAGCCGTGGTCGATGTAGCCGAAGTAGGGAAGCCGATGATGTCGAGGTAGCCGAGCCGTGGGGCGCGCATGGGGCGCTGTAGAGTGGTTGTAAACGCACGGGAGGGCATCATGGACCAATGGTGCGCGAGGACGTGCTGGAGATGAAGACGGTGATACAATCACGATGATCGTGGAGGAATATGACGCCGAAGAGCCGATGTAGTCGAACCGTGAAGTACGAGACGTCACGCCGGGTTTGCCAGACCCAGGGACAACTCGGGACGAACACGCGCAACGGTGTTGCCAATACCGCGTAGACGAGGTAGGGAACCACCATGAATCATACGCCAATGTCGGAGGAGACTAGCAGAGAAGGCCTTCGAGACGGTCGCGGCGCGAGAACGGCGTAGAGGCAGAATTGCCGAAGTAGCACCCGCAGTTGCCGGAGAAGAGCGAAGTGTAGTCGAGGAAGATACGGCGATGCTGGCAATGAGACATGCTGGATGAAGAAGATGGTGAAGTAGCAGGACCAACGGCCTGGACAGCAACGTCGGTAGCCATGTAGAGGTAGCTGGACCACCGGCCTAGAACGGCGATGATGGCAACTTGCAGACGCAGCGGCAATGCTCTAAGTAGACGAAGAAGAACCCGAGTGGCTGACGATGACCAGTGCGGATGATGAGGTTGTCGATGCGCGAACGGTGAGAAAGAAGACGAAAGCGGCGAAACTGCGGTCCGAGAGGACAACACAGCTGCAGCTCCATATCGATGCAACGGCAAGAACTAAATCGACGGTGAGGCCACGCTGAGAAGGGCCTCTCAGCGTTGCAACAGCCAGTGGACGGGGACCATGGGCAGCGGCACTGCGGCCCGAGGGAACAACGTAGTGGCAACCAGAAGATTGATGGCGTAGTACACGTGCTCGAAGACGATAGCAGCAGTGTGTCGTAGCCGGGCGCATAAACGGGTGATCAAGCCAAAATTGCATGAGGCTAGGCGACGAAGAGGAAGCCGGAGTTGATGCCGATGTTCGAGATGTGCAAATGTCGACGAGGCAATGGACGACGCAAACCCAATCTCTGATCGGGGGAAAAACACACACACACACACAAATACAAGCAGCAACAGCACTGTAGCAGGGTAGCAATCCACACGCTCGACGACAGTCCAAGCTGAACGCAGCACAGTCCTTCATCAAGTCAACAAGCTAACCTCTCTGTACGTACATATCCACGTGACCTCTCTCCTCCCTTGCATGTAGAGCTACGCAAGTTCATAGCAGAAGGGTACAGATACAGCAGAGAGAGGGCGGCCTATGGACTAGCGGCGACCCGTTGGCTTGGCAGGGGCTGGGCCGGCTGGGCGCAGGTCGACGGCGGCGACTGGCTGTGGAGCGGAGCAGAGACCGGTGGACAGTGTCGGCTCCAGGAATGAATCGTTGGGTGGTCCTACTTGGCATCCCAAATTGTCACGATGTTACAAAATCAAGTCAAATATGTCAAATATAGTGGAAATATAATTCAAATATTGCAATATAGCTCAAAACATCACAAATTGATTAAAACCAACATTTAAGCCACACTACAAGAAAAATACTCTGTATAGACATTTTTCTAGTACTGTAGAGGCACTTATCAAATACCTTTACAACAATATAGAAGCATTTTAAAAAATGTCTAATAAGTGTCTTATGGTGAATTGTCTCTACAGACGAAGAGACATTTTATAAAATGTCTATAAGATGGTAGAGGCATTTTTTAGAGACACTAAATTGTACCGCAAACATATAAAACCAGTCCAAAAAAGAGAATAAAATAGTTTCCTTGCTTTTGATAAGTCTTGAACTCGTGATCTTTTGGTTAAATCATTCTAATCTTTGATACACTAACCAACTCAACTCCATGTCATTACTTGTATACTTGTTCCTTTAGTTACTTATATTTAATCCTTTAGTACACATTATCATTCTAAAAATGTCTCTACATAGTTTAAAATGTCTCAACAAAATGCCTTTATATATTAGACGCATTTTATAGTGCCGAAAGAATGCCTCTACGAGATAAAATCTAACAAAATGATATAAAAATGTCTCTAGAGTAAAAGTTTTCTAGGCAATTTTTAAAGTGCCTCTATAAAGTGTCTCTACACTATAAAACTTCTGATTTTAGAAGCAATTTACAAAATGCCTCTACAAAAGTGCCTCTATACGAGGTTTTTGTTGTAGTGCCAATCCCATCTCTTGATTTAATCGAATCCCACTTTCTATTTCACCCAATTCAAGTGCTTCCATAATCTTATGAACAAAACAAAATTGAAGTGGCGCTTCTTACCATAAATTTCCTTGACTGGGAAATCATGTGGATAACATTGGTTTGGACCTTTCAGAATATATGCACGCTGAACTGCGTCTTGTTCATTGACATTATAGCTCGCAATAGGGGACCTCAGTCCTGGATCATATTGAAGATGATTAGCATCATACTTTGGAGGTGCATCTTGCTATTCATTTGTTGCCTCAACAACTAGAGTTGGCTCAGGCTGTGGCTCAACTAGTGGCGGCTCATCTTCTTCAATTTGAGCTTCCTCATCAATAAGATCTGCCCTCTTCTTCGCCTTTGCTTCATGTTTCCGAAAAAGCGATGCAATGTCTCCATTCCTTTTCATGTCTCACTGTAATTTGCATTACAAATTAATGAGATACTAAGTTATAATGTTATATTGACTACTAACTAAGTTGTTGCTAAAAGAAAATTCCAAGTTTCAGTTTTCAATCACATTTTTTCATCCACATTTTTCATTCATCGATGACCGATCTATTCAAAGTATATACTAAAGACAAATGAGTAACTCGCCATCTCGGTCTTCACAGAGGGGCAGGGAGCAGCAGGGGAGTAGGGCACTGGAGGCCGGAGAGTCGTCGACTCGTTGAGTAGGAGGGAGAGGGACCCGACTCCGGTGCACCGTCGCCGCCGTGAGGGGCAGCGGGGGCAAAATCGTGGCCGGCTGGCCGCCGCCGGCTGGGATGGTGCTGCACGCCCGTGCCGGGCCCGGGCGGCCGACGGACGACGGCTGCCGCCTGCAAGCGCAATGGCCGCCGACGCTGGCACCTGGCGCAGAGCGAGAGTAGGAGGAGGCAAGGAGCGGGGAGTCGGGAGACCGGAGGGAGAGGTAGAGATGAGACAGAAGCAGCGTGATTTGGGGGAGGATTGGAGTGGCGGGCACGCCTGCGCGGTGCGCCTCTCCTCTGACCTCTGTCGTCCTAACCCTAGCCTGTGGTGGGCTTTTTCTGGTTTGGGCCGTCGGGGGGAGGGGGTCCTCCTAGGCCAAAATCCAGGGTGGTCCAGGGACCACCTGGACTACCCACTGGAGCCGCCCATGCCGGTGGAGAGCACCGTCCTTGGCGCCCCGGCGAACAGCAAGAGGCAAGATCCTATCGGTCGCAGAGCCCGGTAGAGGTCGACGGACCGTCGGTGGAGGAAGTCGGCCGGCAACGGGGTTATCCGTGGTGTCGTCGGTGGCAGGCAACGAAGGCGGAGGTCGGTTGCAGAGCCCGGCGGATGTCGACGCACCGTCGGTGGAGGAAGTCGGCCGGCAGCAGGGTTGTCCGTGGCGTCGTCGGTGGCAGGCGACGGAGGTGGAGGTCGAAGGCGTCGGCCCACGCAGTCACGTCGAAGTCGAGGGAGCCCGGCATAGCCTGTGAAGTGGAGTCGCGGAAAGCCGGCGGGGCGGACGACGTCGCCGCCAGTCCTGCGTGGGAGGCTTGGGTGGCATCGGCGGCGACCGAGGCTACACGACGGCGGTGGAGGCAGCGACCGGCGAGGATGGCTCGACGAGGACCATGGCCGTGACATGGCCGCGACGACCGGTAGATTCATGCGACGACATTACAGCTGCTGATGCTTGAATTGATGACGACGTGAGGAGAAGATGCAGGACTCCTGGAAATCGATCTCTCCAACTCAACGATGACAACGAACGAAAAAGATGAGGCCGCCAGAGGGGATCGGGATCGATCTTCTCGGCGACGAACCACGAACGACCAATCTGGGAACTGAACCAGATCGATCTGATGCGAAGACGAAAAAGGAAAAAAAAGGGGTGACCGCCCCCGGGAGATCGCTACTCCCGGCGGCGGCGGAGGCGGAAGCAGAGAGAGGGATGCTAGATCGCCCGCTCTGATACCATGTTGGATAGTATAGGGAGAGGGGAATACTGCGTAAAGTGGATTGATTGTATTGAGCCTCAGGGGGCCGGTATATATAAGAGTACATGGGGAGGAGATAAGGAAGGATTACAGATATGGAAGGAGTTCACACAAATCTGTCATATCCTAATATGACTTTAACTACCCTATACTCTACTCCATCCGTTTCACAATGTAAGACTTTCTAGCATTGCCCACATTTATAAAGATGCTAATGAATCTAGACATTATTATATATATAGATTCATTAGCATCTATATGAATGTGAACAATGTTAGAAAGTCTTACATTGTGAAACGAAGGAAGTAACACTCACCTCTAGCTAAGAGTGGTAATGGGTCGAGAGACTCATGAATGCTTTACAACCCTATGTAACCCTCATATATTTTAGGTGAAAATGTATAAAAAAAATAATTCCATCATGCTTTAGATCCAATCTTTAAATTTTTCAGGATAAAAAAACTCAAGACAATCACCACACCTACCTGCGGCCATCGATGCATCCCAAACAAGGTAAGTCGATAATGCGCCATGGCGCACCCTTCCTCATTAACATTTATAGCCTCCGTCAGGGATCTCCCATTAGCCACGTCCACTTCACTGCCGCTCATGGCTCACCAGATCCTCCTCTGCACCGGAACCTAGATGCCCCACCACTTTGTCCGATAATTGATTTATTACAAGTTTAATTCTAGATTGTTTTAAAGATAATTTTAAAAGGAATGAAATTGATTGGCATTGAAATTAGGAGTAGGGTGGTCGGGTGGAGCTTCATCAAGATCAAAGAGTGTCATGGCCTCCTCCAGCTTTAGGATGTTACATTGAAATCCCCTCTCTTTCAGTGAAGAAAAAAATTGTATTATAGCAAAAAACAAAATGTATAATAGCCTTTGTTTGAAAACACTTTTACACATTAGCCCCTCAGGATTGTAGTGAAGCTCAGCCACTGATTAGAAGATTTGGAAAATTCAACCATAAAACAAAGTTAAATCAGCTGACGATCCAAAAAGAAAACATTCGTCGACGATCTTTAGGGTCTGTTCGGCAACTACAAATATAAAATACTGTTCTTGTTGGCTGCAGTACAGTAAAAAAAAATCGGGATTGCTATATGTCATTCGAATAAAATTTAGGGAAGAAATCTTACAGATTTTGGACCACTGCATCCATGCCAAGATTCGTGCGTCGGCTTCTCTCCTCCAACTCCAGCGGGCTCCCCTTCTTCTCCAGCGCCGGCGACACCCCAACTCCGGCGGGTTAGGGTTTGGGGTTGGGGTGAGAGTAGGAGGGGGGTTGGGAGAGGGGGAAGAGGGGGGTTTCCTCGGGGTTTAGAGGGATGGCCGTGGGCGGCGGAGGACCGGCGGTGGGCGGTGGACTCCGGCGGGCGGCGAGGCGGCGGCGGCGCCGCCGAAGCCGTGGGGATGGAGGAGGGCGGTGGGCCGGCGTCGGCGGCGGGGGCAAAGCAAGCGTGAGATTAGGAGGCGGCGGCCAGTGGTGGCGGATCCGGCGGCGGAGAGCCGCTAGAGACGGGGAAGACGGCGGGGCGGGGGCACCTCGCCGTCGCCACATCGAGGAGAGGAGGGAAGGGGGAGAGGGGGAGGGGGAAGGGGAGGGGGCTCGCCGGGGGGGGGCCTCGCAGGTGCCGTTGACCCCTTCCGGCTAGCCGGCGAGGCGGGCGGCGGCGCGGTGGGGTGGTGGCGGCGGGGATCGCGCGAGGACGGGGTGGCGGCGGCGTGCGATATGAATCGGTGGGGAGGAGGAGAGGAGTTAGGTTAAAAGGGTCTGCACGAATCTTAAAGCATATCCAATGGTCCAAAATTCGAATGATATGGGGTGGGATTTTCTGTCACAATATGTATAAACAGCCCAAAAAAAATAGCAGCCGAACAGAAGCTTAATTTAAAACAAAAGAATGCAACTACGTGGCGCTCGTTAAATTCTTAGCATACATGAGTTCTGGAGGAAAACAACACCAAAAACACTATTCATCTCTTAAGGAAGTAATTTGATAATTTCTATGTTTTTTCGCATGGAGCTAGCATCCAAATAGTTGTTCATTGTTTGCTATCGGTCGGGCGCCTACAATATTGCAATTTGTCAGTCTATCATCGTTGGATACGCATCAAGATCCATGCACAAAACCAGGCTTGGCCTGATGCAATGAGTAACGGGCTGCATCTGCCCTGGCCCGTTAAGCCGTGGGCCATCAATTTTTTTGGATAATGGATTTTTCATTAATTTGGCCTCTATATCCATATATATCCGTAAAGAATATACATAGCCAAAAACATACACAAGGGCAATACACACAAACACACACAAAAAAAAAAAAGCTAGAAGACTTAGCTTCAACCTTCATCGATGACTTATTCTATTCATCCCAGCATGAGAGGGGTATGAGGAGAAACAAAACTAGTTTGTGCTACTCGTCGCCGCACCATCTCCACCTCTATGGAACTCAACCATAAACTGCTGCAAACTGCTATGTCCGCTTTCCACCGTCGCCATCCAAAAACCCCCTTATGCAGTTGTTGCATTTTGAACGCCTATAGAGTACCACGAAGCCGCTTGCCGTCCCACCACCATCTTCCGTGGACTATCAAACTCACCGTAGCTCCTAGAGCATCATGGAACCATCCAGCATGATATACACCTTGTCTTTACTGTCATGAGCTTTGCCGAAGATGCACCGCTACCATTCACATCTATCCGCAGCCAGACCTTGACGCCGTCACTCACATGACAGCTGCTGCCTCTAGGATTACTCCGTCAAGAGCCTCCATTGCCATCATCCTTATATGCATCAGGAAAGTCGACGGCCATCGCACACCATCAGCCCAGCCATCGACGACCATCGTCCACTGCCCTCGCCTGACCGTGGTCAGAACGGGGCACTGGAGCTCACCTAAGTCGTCGGTGCCTCTAGGACGTTACCATTGAGAACCTTCGCCGCCATCGTCTCAACTTGTCATGGTTGAACCAACAATCAACAAGAACCTTCGCCGCCATCGTCTCAATCTGTCATGGCTGAACCAACCAACCGTCGACAGTCATCACCATGCTATTGTCCCACCATCACAGGTGGAGGGCTAGATCCCTCCACTGTTGTTATCGCCGGTGGCAGAGCCGTCACTGCCCAACACCACCACCAGCGCGCTCCCTACCGCCTAGCAGGTTGCCAGCGTGCGCTGCCGCTGCCACCACCGCCTGGCCGGCTGCCAGCATGTGCCGTCAATGAGGTATGCACACTCAGATGTGGCAAGAAATTTGAGATTAAGCCATCGTCCAAAACAGGTTTCGTCAAAATGCCATCGTCTAAAACGGGTTTCACCAAAATGCAATCCTGCACGTAATTTGGTTTCATCCAAATACCATTCTCAAACAGGCCACACGCTAATGTCATTTCTCCCTTTTATTGATTGTTCGCCCATCATGCAGAACATATAAATTCCTTATCACTATGTAGGAAAATTGAACTGTATGCTAAGTAGCAATAAAATGTGGCATGAAGCATGTCAGAACTTCAAATAGGTTTCCATCACTTGAACAGATGAAGTTACAACATTGTTGAAACGCAGGCATACATGAGAGCAATGGTATTTGCAACTGGCAGAAACAACACTTTCTACACACAAAATCATTAGCTTCTAGTTTCAGTGTGGCAGTTACTGCAGGGCTCAATAACCTTTAAGCTAACACTCGAGGGTACTCTCCCCTCAACATAGATCCTAATAGCGAGGAGAGCCTTCTCAGCTTCCAAGAGAGCTTCCTTGCTCATTTGTAAACATTGACATGGGTCAATCTTGTCATTTCTCCTGTCATAGCCACGGGTGGTGTCCAATGTAAGGTACTCTAGAGACGAAGCCTTCTCGAGAATGTGGTTGGCAAGATCGATCATGCTCTTTGCAGAGGAAAAACCGGTTATCATCATGTTCTTGAGATTGTCATGGCGGTATTCTGAAGCACGCATTGGATGCATGGAGTCACCACTCAATGCTTCAAGGATCGAATCATGTCTTTTAGCTGGCCGTTCAATCTGCAAAGGATTACGTCAATGTCTGCTTTTTTTTTAATGAGCAAAAGGTACTGAATAAAAGTTAGCCATATTAATTCTCTCCCTCTTTTATTTAGCTACTACTTTATAGGAATAGGATAGTGATCAAGGCAAGTAATTTAGTTGCAAAGTTTATCAAGGCCATCAATAGTGTCAATATTTATTACTAGAGTTGCAACGTTTTTATTTTTTTAAAGAAAGCTCATCACATATATTTTAAAGCCCATAAAAATTATATTATCATCATGCCAATTTTGCTGCCACTTTGTAGGTGTCAGTTGAGTTAGCCATAGGGGTCAGATAAAGATAGGGATGCAAGCGGGGCGGGCAAGCGGGTGTTTTTAGCCCGCTTATCTCACTTGTAGTTCATTTTTTCTTCTAAATTTTGTGCTACCATATGAAAAATGAAGTAGTAAGCGGGTTTTTATGCGGGTAGTGAGACTACCCACTTGCATCCCTAGACAAAGTCTTGTCTGATTGTTCGTGGACCACATGGTAATTGGGTGGCAACCACCACCAGTAAGCGTCTTTTAAGATAGTACATATGAGATCAGTTGCATCATTTGCAGAACAAAGAAATGTTACATTTGTCCAATTCAAGAAATAACAAAAAACATTTGCATGAAACATCATAACAAATAATTCTTTAAGAGAAAACAATAAAATCTTGAACATAAGTGGTACCTGATAAATGATAGATAGCTTTGACATATAAATAATAACTTACACGCAGGATAAAAGTCTCCAAGGCAGGAGAAGCATCAATGAAGGAAACCAGAGAACAAAAATCATAGCCCGGGGACAAATCTGGTGTAAGCAGCAGTATCTCCAAGCACTTGAGCTGCAGGAATTTGCCAAGTACCTTTGGTGTATTGACTGTCTGAAGAAAAAGAGGCCGCAAAAATTAATTGAGTACAGTAGTATACAGTGCAAATCTAGTGATATACTCCCTCCGTTTCTAAATATTTGATGCCGTTGACTTTTTTAAATATGTTTGACCGTTCGTCTTATTCAAAAAAATTAAGTAATTATTAATTTTTTTCTATCATTTGATTCATTGTTAAATATACTTATATGTATACATATAGTTTTACATATTTTTTAAAAGTTTTTAAATAAAACGAACGGTCAAACATGTGCTTAAAAAGCCAACGGTGTCAAATATTTAGAAACGGAGGAAGTAACATGCTATTATTATGGTGTGTTGAGTGACAAGTGCAATTGAGCTAATAAGTAAGGCTAAAACCGACCTCATTACGTGTTGATAGATAAAGCTTCTGTATGTTTGGCGCAATGGATGGAAGCTTCTTGCTACCATAATGTAGCGCGTCAGGGCTTCCGTCACAAAACATTTGCATTTTCTTCACTTGTAATAATGCTTCTCCAAGTGAGATTTGTATTGGGGGGCCAGCATAGATGAAAGTAGAGAGCTTTGGAGCACTACTGTCAATCACCTCCAATTTTCTAAAATGCAACACTTCCAGGTAATTAAGCTCCAGCAGATGGGGGATCTTCAGGACAACAATATTATGGCAGTCTGAAAGTAACAATCGCTGCAAAGCACAGGATTTGGATAGAAAGCCGCATAATTCCTCCTCAGTAATTTTTACTGATCTTAAACGCAAACTTGTCAAGGTACTCATCTGACCAATTTGTATGCCAGGGTGGAAAGAACAGCCACCAAGTAAAAAAGACTGAATTGAGCTTGCTACCCTTGATAGAAGTGAGCATGGGAAATCATAATCCATCTTGCTAACTCGGGTCATTTCTAGTTCAAATTCTTTGATTCCTGGTGCAAACGCAATTTGAAGCCAGCGGTCAACATAACTAGGATGCAGACTGAAACAAGGGTGGGTTGTAAGTTTAAACATCTTCACTCCTGTGCCAGCATGATTCAGCATAATGGGGTCGACTCTACTGATGAAATCAATTGTTAGTTTATCATTGCTAGGTGCTCTCTTATCTATGCGTAGTGTATTAACATTAAGATTGAGCCTGGGGTAGAATCTCCAAGAACGCAGAAAACAACGAGATGCACAGGCGGCACGAGCTGCATCCTGCATAGGCATGAGAGTGTGTATGTGATAAAGGATGTCCTGCACAAGCCAACAGGAGAGGATAAAAACATTAGAAAATGTTTTATTACCACTATAATAATAACTGGCATACTGCTTTTTGGGAATGAATAGTAGAGGAAACTATCAATATGCTAAAAGAACATTTTCAAATTGAACATGGATGCACTGCTGAGTTCCGTACCTCTGGAAGCTGCATCTTGGATTCCACTGTACTGGCAGATTGAGAATCATCGCCACATTGACAAGGGGAGTTGTCTATTTCAGAAGCTGAAGAAGTAGCTCCATTACCTGCAACTAACTAGGTCATGATGCAGAAGGGAGCATTTTGTTTGCACGCATATACCAAAGATGGATAGTTGGACATAATTTAAAGATAACTATAATACAACAAAGACATATTTTTGTGCTTGAGATTACTAAATATGAAGATTAAGTACGGGCACTTAAAACAAGAAAACCATTAGCTCATGATTAATTAAGTTTTAATTATTTTAAAATTAAAAAAATATTTATCTGATATTAATGCAACTTCTATTCTGCATAAAAAGTTTCAGTACGAAATATAATAGTTTGAAAAGCGTGCCCAACGGAAATATCTTAATCGGAAAAAGAAGGAGAAGGGACCTAATTAAATAAGGGTTTTCAACTAACATAGAAAATCAGAGAATCATCATTGAAATCAAAATTTGAGCAAAGTCACTTGAGATTTAGGCCACCTGATGATGCAGAGAAGTGCAGAACAAATGTGCACTTGAGATTTGAACCTAGCTAGTTAGAAGAATCCGCCGAAGCGGCTGAATCCAACCAGTTTGATTGATTTTACCCACCAGGGAAGCCGTGGGAGCCCTTCCAAAGGAACAACAGGTAATCGAACCTAAATCTAGCGGGTGATTTGATCAGCTACGAGGGGTGGGGGACAGGAGGAGGCTTACCTATTCGCGGCGGCGGCTGGACGGGCACCTCCAGTATCTCCATATGGCCGCTGCTTAGTACAAAACGATGAATCTCCCAAGAGGGGGAAGGAGCCTGGGGCGATCGAGGCTCTCGAGAAGTATCAGGCGCGACGTTCGCCGGGAACGGCGGGAGCGGCGGCGCGCGAGATCGGCGGCGGCGTCGGCGGCGGCGGCGCGGGGAAATTAAGATCGCAGAGCCGAGACGGATCGGAGGAGGAGCGGCTAAAGGCTAAAGTGCTAAACCCACCGCTCGTTTGTTTTAAGTGGGTCCCACCGAGTCCGACTGTTCTTCGTACGAGTTCACCGGATTACGGAAAACCCAAGAGAAAAAGGTAAAACCCGATGAATTTTCAATCAATACCATACAGAAACCGACTAATACCAGTTACCGTACAGTAACACATGTATTATAAGATGTTTTGACTTTAGCCAAAATCAAATAGCTTCAAGTTTGACTAACACCGTGTTTAGTTCCAAACTTTTTTTTTCAAACTTTCAACTTTTCCATCACATCAAAACTTTTCTACACACATAAACTTCCAACTTTTTCATCACATCGTTCCAATTTCAATCAAACTTCCAATTTTAGCGTGAACTAATTACACCCTTAAGTTTATAAAAAAAATAGTAATATTTTCGACCTAAGATAAATTTATTATAAAAATATATTTAATTATTAATCTCTATCTCTATCTCTACTATTATAAAAATTGAAAATGTTTTTGCCAGTACTTTGGTAAGTCATCCGTGTATGAGTCAGTTTTTAAATTCGATCGCTTTTGGAAATACATAGTGTATTTAAATAGGTTTTTAAGTTCGTTCGCTTTTGAAAATATAGTAAGAGCCGTATAAGAATTCTCTTTAAAAAAAACTCGCATGCTAACTTAAGACGATCGGACTTCTAATTATAGCTCATGATTTACATTATTGTATTTGTATATAAACTTAGCTAAACTTAAAGCAATTTGACTTTAACCAAAGTCAAAACATCTTATAACCTGAAACAGAGGGAGTGGTACGTATTGGTCTCGCTTTTACAAAATTCAAAGACTCTTATCACATTATCCCATATCATATTATTGGACTTGTTTGGTGTGACATAAATTGGCCATACCAATATTTGGCAATTTTAATAGTGTTTTGTGGGTGTGGCTATTTGGCGCGCGCACTAGCTCTCCCTCCACGTGTTTTTTTTTTCCATTTTTTCGCTTTTTCTTTTTTTATCCCCCTCCTCCCCTTGCGCGTTTCCTTTTTTCATGTTTTTTCCCAATCTTTTTAATCGTTAGCACATGTATTTTCAAAATATTTGAGTCGAAAGTTTTCAAATTTTAATTTGAAAGTTTTTCAATCTAAAGAAACTTTTCAAATCTTGACTTGAAAGTTTTCAAATCTCGAGTTTAAAGTTTTCAAATGTGAGTCGAAAGTTTTTAAATCCAAGTTAAAAGTTTTCAAAATTTATCTTACAAATTTAAATTTTAAGTTTAAATTTTTCAAAGTTTGAGTTGAAAGTTTTTAAATTTGACTTCAAAGTTTAAATCTTAGTCAAAAGTTTTCAAATTTAACTTGAAAGTTTAAATTTTAAGTTGAAAATTTAAAAATTGAGTTTAGAGTTTCAAATTCTGAGTTGAAAGTTTTAAATTCTACGTATGGCTTTTAATTTTTCGATAGAAAGTTTAAAATTTTACATGAAAGTTTCTTTTAGATATAGATTTCTATCAATATGTTAGTAAAAAAAACTAAGGAAAAAAAGGAAAACATTCCCTTAATTATCGTCATTATCCTAAACTAACTCGGTTAGTTATGGGAGAAGATAAAACGCGCGCCGCCACTCGCTTTCTCAGTGTTTTGTGTCTTTTGGTTTGAAGCCAACTTTTGATAAGCCTAGAAAAATAGACCATTTCAATAGTTAACTTAAGCTATTTTGGGTTTTTTTTTTTTGCAGGGAGGCTATTTTGGTTTTAATCCAGACACAATATTGCCTTATCAAGATTAGCCATGCTAAAACTAGACAAAATTTAGTGTTGACAAAATTGGTAAGATCAAGTTAGACTACAAACCAAACCAGCCCTATAATTCATAAGCCGAAGAAAATTTCACAAGGGAAAAATGGAAGATAAAGGTACCAGCACATTGCTACTCCAGCTTGCTACCAGACTTTTAAGAGAAGTCAAGATTCAAGAATAATATAAAAGAGAGAACACAAAAGAAACACGTAAGAGAGATAAGAAAACATAGAAAATAAGCAAAAATCCTGCCATCTAAGGCTAATAATAGGCTTTTGCTAGAGAATGCATATGCTACAGTCTCATGCCTGAGTTTACAGGAAGCAGATTTCATCTGAACACAACTGATTTCTGATCTGACACTCACAGAAGGTTATCCACGGCAAAAGAGGTGAGAAAATTTACTTAATATAATCTCAGAAAAGCTGAGAGTTCGACGCAATTATGCCTCAATATATTTATCTGTCTTCCTGTTTGTACATTTCATGGCCTGCACCACATCTTTACTTGATTACTTCTCACTGTGCAGAATCGACCAATCTGCAATAGAATAGAACAATTAGCAGGAGTGGTGGAATAGATTAGAGAGTCAAGGTTTCGCTTCATTTCATCATGCCATCTCATGCTGCAAGAGACATCCCTGATCCATATAGCTGACTTATTTGAATGCATGCTTTGCTTATGATGATCAGTGAGCAAAGCTGGAGGCTTCCAGAGGACAGCGTTTCCCACAGCACAGATGTGGAATAGATGGAGGGAAGGCATTAAAGCAAATGGTGCTTGGGGACCAGTTAAAGTCATGCAATTGCAAGCAGCATTTAGCACCGAGGACATCCTTCTATTATAGGAGACAACAATACTAACACTTGCTATCTAATGGTAACCATTTATAAAGCACTAATAGAACTTAACTAACGTGGCTAAACCACCAACCAACCCAGGATACTTATGACATTATAGTAGTCAATAATTAAAGAGACAAGGAGTCATGAATTTGATTATCAGTGTTAATTACACTATATTAATTCAAAAGTAAAAATCAGATAGCATCGGTTAGACATCAGACAAGTTAACTGACATCAGAGCAGCTCTTCTAGCATGTCTTTGTGCCCCCCTAAAGGAGCTTAAGTTGTATGAAAACATTTGCCATACATAGCTTTTGCAATCAGTTCTGGTGGAGAGAATGTTAGACTTCTCCCAGTTCCTATATGTTCAGGACATAAAGTAAGTTCCAAAATGATAAAACTTGAATTGTCCATGGCATTGCTCCATTTCACCAGCAAGGTGCTACAGACAAGCAATGGCATGGTGTACAACAAACTAGCAGGCCAATGTTGGACTCAGTACATGTGCCACCAAGGTACTTCATGCCATAGGCTCTGTTGTTTAACTCAACATGGAACTAAAAAGGAATTGTGTAGAAATATTAACTGGCACAATGTACATGGTTGCCCGTCATCCAAGCCAACTCTATGTGCTCGAAATGTGCTCCTGTATTGTGACAGCCCTCCTGTATTGTGACAGCTCTAACACATGTTGCATATCGTCTATCATCCTGTTTGTGATAAAATATCAGTAATTGCTCGAGTTTGGAGGTTTTATACAACAGGTCATTTGATTTCACAATTTTCTCCTTTAAACCAGTGAAATACATAATTTAGGACAAAAATACATGCTGGAATTCAAGGAACTCCAAAACTAAACATATGTTTGAACTCTAGATAACACGTAAGATCCTAGTCCCTAGAAATGCAAATTCACATTTCCTTTGCTAAACTTGGCCTTGCTGAGGATTATGGACTTAGATTACAATGAGGCAACGTGTATACGAGGCAACTATACAAAATATGCAGAAACCATCCTATATTACGAGGACACAAACACAGGTAGATAAGGCCTCTAGCAGGTGCCACAGAAGAACTCCAGAAGGGTAATTTTACCATCCTTTATAAAGTACCTAGAGGTACCATATTTTCTAGTGTAAAAATTTGGTACCTCTAGGTACTAAGTACCTCAATGTACCAAAAAGTTTAGTGTAAAATTTAGGTACCTTAAGGTACTTTATCAAGGACTGTAAAATTCCTCACTCCAGAAACACTAGAGCAACCATAAAAAGAGTATGGGAAAAAATAACAGTATTTGTGCAGCTTAACAATAAATTTCGGACTATCTTAAATCACCGTACTACATGATTGCATCATGTGACAAGTTGAGCATAGAACTACAGCTCAAATTCCCAATTTCCATTAACCATAATCCTGTGATAATTACATTGGCAAAAAAAGATCCTAATTAACCATGTCAGAACATATCACAGTATCAGTGAACTACAGTCACAAGACAACTCCATTCCCACTGCAGATTAAATGGATCGAGTGTGATTGTGGCAAGTTACCTGGGCTGGAAAGCACCGCCAAAAGGCATTGGGGAATGGGGACAGCGTGATATCATGCCTTCTCCAGGACAAGGCAGCATGAATTCCCAGTGGCAAATCCAACGGTCAACCTTTGCGCTGAGTCAAAATGGTCATCCAGTGGCTTAATTGAACAGCCTTTAGCCCACAAAATCAGAAGATTTTCATTTATGGTAAAGGATTCCTCACTGTCATGTTGTCTGTTGATGAATGGAGTCCTTACCTTCAAATCAGGGTATTCACTATCAAAACTGGCCATCAAAAAATTTTATAACTTAAGAGATCAGGTTCTTCACTCTGAACTTCAATGCAAAGCAAGGACTAAATATTGGCTTTCAGAACAAGTTCCAGTACAGGAAAGCCCTGATTCCTATCTAGAGTTGGTCATTTGTTAGTGGTCCATGCAGTCTCTATAATGCAACCAGTTTGGATTCAGGAAATATCCAATCCCTATGGGGTGGATCTGCATGCTCAGCAGTACTACATCAGTTGGCAATTGTTGGTATTCATGACAAGGGATATATTCTCAAGGATGCTCTCATTCAGTTCAAAGGAATATACTGGAATGGTGCCAATGATTCTCCTCAGACTTAATCTACTTCATACTTCCTCTGTTTCACAATGTAAGTCATTCTAGCATTTTCCACATTCATATTGATGTTAATGAATCTAGATAGATATATATGTCTAGATTCATTAATATCAATATGAATGTGGGAAATGCTAGAATGACTTACATTGTGAAACGGAGGGAGTACCTTTCACTCTTCCCCTATTGGTGGTCATCAGGTCTTCAGGCAACATTTCAGAGAATCAAGTTATTTGCTTGTAAAGGCTTAAAAATGAATGTTGAAAGTTGAAACCTATGACAATCAGTGCAATATTTGCCAACAAACTAAACACAGAAATTGTAAGTTACCTGGACTTCTCACCCTTCCACCAGTCACTGAAGGTTCTTCACTGCTTGGTAAGATTTATCCATGAATTTTATAGAGGGCTTGCCTCACATTGAGGGATATACTGCAATTTTGGTAGTGGTAGATTGTTTCACTGAACATGCCCAATTTTACCCTCTGAAGCATCCAATTTCAGCAGTCATAGTAGCAGAATTTGTCATGGATAATGTTGCTAAAACTCATGGTATTCCTACATTAATAGTTACTGATCAGGATATATAGATTACTCACCAGTAATTTTGGAACGACTTGCTTGCGAAGCTTGATACTCAATTGAACCTAGTACCGCACTCCATCCACAGCCTGATGGACAGACAGAGCGGATTAATCAGTACCTTGAAATATACCTACAAAGCACACTCCATGAAACGCCAAGGAAGTGGCCCTCTTGGTTTCCCATTGCTGAATTCTGGTACAATACAAGTTTCCACACTACCTTGGGTAGCTCCCCTCACAAGGCATTGTTTGGCACTGAACCTAGTTGCTTCAGCTGATAATGAAGCCACTGATATGCTGACAACAAGGGCTGCTTATTCTGAATTTTTGAAGAATCAGTTGGCTAGAGAACATTTGAGAATGAAGAATATTGCTGATAAAAGCAGATATCTGCTGGAGTTTCCTGTGGGTGACAAAGAATATCTGAAGCTGCAACCTTATACTGAATCGCCAGTGTATATCTGAGGCTGGCAAGCTGCAACCTTATACTCAATCTTCAGTTGTCAATATGTCATATCTTAAGTGGGTCTATAAATTCTCGGCCCCTATGATGTTCTTGCTCGAAATGGTCCAAATGCATACAAATTACAACATCCAGAGGGCAGCCTGATGCATCCAATCTTTCATACTTGTCAGTTGAAGCCACATATACCTGATCACACACACCAATCTTTTTATCTCTCTCGGATATAATTGAATTTGATGCTGAAAAGGTTCAAGTGGAACAAATTTTGTGCAGGAAACTAGTTAAGAAAGGTAATGCTGCTCGCCTTCAAGTGCTTATCAAATATCAAGTGGACCTCATTAGCTATTTTAGCAGCAAGGAGAATTATGATGTCCTTGTGACAAGATTTCCTGCAGCATCAGCTTGGGGACAAGCTGAGTCTCACGGCAGTGTTGCAGCTATACTAGAGGCAATGGGCCAGCAAGGAGGACGCAAGGTAGGCAGGACATTGAATGAAGAGTTGAAGACATATAACTGAGAGTGCGGGTGGAGGGCCAGTGAGCCTTGTAATATGTGAGAGGTGCTCAGGCCAAGTCTAGCTAACTACTAGCTGGAATAGACTATAAGGACAGCATGCTGTATCACGTACGCTGTTAAGCAATGAATGAGGGAATTAGCTGTTCTTCTCTGCCTCTTCCTTCTTCTTCCTCCTGCTAATCCATGGGGATGTACAGAGCAGGCACTGAAAAACAGATATGATAATGAGGTAAATCATCATTTCTAATTAGAAAACAGATGTTAAGAAAGCGATCCACATCCATTACAGGGGAAGGGAACTGGCTCCAATCAGTGCTAGAGTGGGGACACATACACACACAAAAAATATGTAAACCAACCTGACCAATTTTTGTTGTTTGGGATGGACACGCTATTTTGAGCCTGACTCATTGAAGAGATCAAATCCCAAAAGAAGACATCAAATATGAATAAGAATATTCTTGAGAGCTCACTTGTGTATAGCCAATTGATAATCTCATCGCATAGTCATTTGTGATATGTTGCTTCTCTGTTCCTGTAACAGCATCATGGTGCTGAGCAAGAGCTAGAGCATCAGCTAAAGTATCTGTTGTGAGATTTAATTTGCTTTCCCCTTAAAAGAATTCCAGAAGCCAAGATGCCTGAAAAGTGAAAAGAAATAAGATATTAAGCATATGGCACCACAAAGTACCAAGGGAACAAGAAAATATATCACATTTAAATTGGACATGTGAAAGCCAGAATAATGAAAAGGGTGGTAAAACCACCAATCATAGCACGGACTGTTGTTTTAAGGAAGGTCTTCTTGTGAAGGAACCAGTCCAGGCATTCGGGTTGTCCGCATACCAGGTGTAAGAAATACAGTCAAATGCATGTGAAAGAAACAAAGTGAAATTACCCATACCAATTATGAATATGAAAATAGAACATACAGGTAGAAATCATTTGTCTTGAGAGGCCATGGCTCATTTAAGCATATTTTGCATCAGTATAAATGGAAGACATGGAATAGAGAGCATTGGCATGGCCAATTAAGGGAATGGAATAAACACGTTGAAATCATCATATCACAAGTTCAAGATATCTGCATTATGTAATGCCATGACTGCAACTTCATGGTGAAACCAAAACAAAGAAACTAAACAATAGTCAGTATTAGTAATATTAATGATCATCTTTAACCTTATTGACATAATGAATTAGTTTGTCCATCATTCTGAACCAACTTTATCCATAATGATAAATCATAATTGAATTTTGAAGTCTGTATCCATTGTAATCATGGCATGGTTTGTCGTCATAATATTTGCCTAGAGAAAAGAAGGAAAAAACATGAATTAGGATGAATCATTCATTCCTAAGCAGATCGATAGCTTCAAGTTAAAATGTTGATATTCAGAAATAACTTTTGAGTATTAAAAGCACAAAGGTCGATGTATCATGGAATACAGAACAGCAAAGATGCATTCTCATCTTCTGACAAACACATATCACTACAACATCCGGAAAATCCAGTGTACATTCAATAAATAGTTTGCAGTTGCATCAATCCATATGAGACTAATGGATTTACATGAAACGCACATAAGAGAGTGTACATTGGCATGAAGAAAAGCGAGAATATTTTTGGAGTCTAATGTACCTGTGCTAGAGCTGCAACAAAGTCGTTCACCCATTGTTCAACATTATAACAAAAAAAGAGGGCATCCAGCATAGAGGCAAGCAATGTAGAATAAGTTCAATGTAGTATGTGTTAACTAGAGTTCTCATTAAATTACCTGGAAGACAAGGTAATTATCATCAACTTCGAAATAAAACTCACTAGGAGATGGTTCATAAATTTTTGGGAAGATATCAGCAAAGGATGTGTAAGAAAATGTGCATATTTCATATGAAATATGGATTCCTAGACTTAATAATATAAAATTGAGGTGTAACATTTACTATCAAAAAAAGAGAGAAGGTTTACTTAAATCAGCTGACGAGCCGAGAGTCTTGGAGCCCCTCTCACAACCTCGAGTTCTTCTGTTCCCTTTCCGCGTATCACTATCTTGGTAATCAACCCGGAGAAAAAAAATCATCAATTCCTGCATGAAACATAACAACATGTTTGCTGAACCATCCCTTTTCTATTAAGTTCAATATGTTAGTCAAAACACTGGATGGGCAACTGTTATTCCAATTAACGAATGGGTTGTGTTAGACTCAATAGCTATGTTGTGTGGTCAATGAAAGGGCTCTCGGTGGCGTCACTCTTTAGGGGATAGCAAGGTACATATACTGACATTATTATATCTCAACATAATAAATATCTATGACGGGCAATAAGTGATAACATAGTTACTGTTGTAACAGCACAGCAGAGTTCAAAGTTTGTCTTATCTTGCAAACTAGCTATATGATGAAGTAGCAGTGCATCATATACAATATTTGCGTTAGTTTCTGCCCATGAAAGAATTTGACTCGCATTAACTCTCAAAGCATAGAAGTGCATCATATACGACATTTGCATTAGCTTCTGCCATGAAATAATTTAATTCACAACTCTGAAAGTGAAAGCATGATCACACAAATGGGTTTGGCACATTACTTACGCACCTAGGCAGTAATCCTGAATTGCAGAGTGCGAAATTGGATCAATCTGCCAACCAATCCTTGGAATCTGACCCCCAACTACTCCTTGATGAACCTGTGCCAAATCATAGATTCATAGTCGGTATATATATCATGTTAATGTAGCAGTGCACAGCCGCCTCAGCATGCATGCACATAGCCCCATTCTTCAACTTCACAAGAAGCACTGTGTTCGCTATAGAATACAGACATGAGTGGCAATGCTAACATATAGAGTAACCAATGGGGCATGAAAGGCCACACATTAGTTCCAGCCATCCAGTGCTGATGAGCCCCTCCACCGTATCCTTAATCATGGGCTATCTCCACCATTTCTGAAATTGCCTAGAACCAATGAAACCATTGGTCAAGAAAACTCATTATGTCTACAAGTAGATGCACATTGCTTCCTACCCAACCAAAAAAATGCCCCCCACACTGCAGCACTAACCATTTTGGGATTTAGTTTCAGTAACTTCAAATCTTAGAACTGGTAGCCAGGAAATGGCTGTAGAAACATCAGGAAAATAGTAGTACTGCGCTTTCTACACCCAAATTCCAATTACAAACAGCCGGTGCAAATTTTACGAGAAGAAATCATGCCCAACAGAACTAAACTAGCTTCGCTAAACCCGTCAAAAACTTCTCCACCCAAAAATGGGGAAAGAAATCCAAGGACCGCGCAGCACGGGCCTGCACATTCTGCAAGCAAGCCCCCTGAACCAAAAACACCCAGAAACAAGAATCAAAACAATCAACCGAAACTATGAGGAGAACCAGATGATTCGTTTCCAAAGTTCAGGTAAAATTTGACGGGGAGAAACCATCAATCGTGCGTAAGCTAGCTTCCCCAAACCCTTCGAAACTTCTCCCCAAAAAACAAACAAAGACGGGGGAAAATCGCGGAAAATTCCAAGAACTGCATCGCGCAGCTCGCTCGAACCAAGTACTGACCTCCTGGATGGAGTTGTTCGAACTGACGTGGTAGTACTACGTCGTCGCGGCCTTGCGGGTGTGGAGCTTCCCCTTCACCACCCCTGCCGACGTATGGTAGGGATGTACACGCACTCCCCCCGGGTGGTGGGCGGCGGCGGAGACGGAGGCAGAAGCGGCGGCGGCGGCGGCGGCGCGAGGACGGTGGCGGCGCTCCATCCGAAGCTTCTAGAATACTAGTACTACTTTAGTGGAGGCTTTGGGGATTGGATATCCGAGGCCGTCGATGACGTGGAGTGCGCCACAAGAAGCAGCCGTGGCATGGGCCCCACCTGTCGGTGACTGCGTGGGTCCCACCTGTCGGTGACGCGAAAAGCCCGCTTATAAATTTACGACTTCACCCCCCCCGACCTCTCTCTCCCTCCCTTTCCCTCCATCCGCAACGGCTACCAAAGCCAGAGCCCAGAAGCCACGAACGAAATCCCCTTTCCGCTCGAATCCCCCCGCCGCAGCGGCGGATCGGGGAAGCCACGGCTCCTTCTCCGGCCGGCCGTCGCCTCGCCCGGATCCCCTCCGCCGGCCGGAAGCCACGGCTCCTCTCCCGGCTTCGCAGCCCCTCCCTCCGCCTCCGCCTCCGGTGACCGCCCGGTGATCGATCGGGGACTACTCCATCAACTCGACGCGCTTCGCCTTCCTCGCCGTCGAAGCGGAGATGGAGCCGATCAATATCACCTCGGTTCGCGAGTTGGAGGAGGCTATAGGCAAGTACGGCGCCGGGGAGAGCGTACGGGTCACCATCAACGTGGCCAACGTTTTCGAGGCCGATGAGCTGCTTCGGCTCATCGGCGATCGGGAGCTCGAGGTTCGTTGGGAGCTGAGTCCCGGGGGCATGGATATGCTGAGATCCGCGGCGGACTACTACCTCAATCTCGACCTCCTCTACGAGTTCATGGACCTTATGCGGCTGGATCTGCGCGACGGCGTCCCTGTCAAGAAATCGTTGTTCGATTGGATCCGGACCGCCTCCACGGATGTGCTTACTTCTTCTCACCCATCGTCGACTCGTCGCATCCTGGAACAAATCACGCTGGAGGCACAGCTAATCGGGCGAGTGGCCAAGGGATTGGGCTTCGGGGCGGATGACGTGCAGCAGTATCTCATCACCCCGCACGAAATGTCATGGTATCTGGAAGAGGATGCAGTTGCGGTAAGAAAGAGGAGAGCAAGTTTGAGTTCGGGTGATGCCGCCACGAGTGATGTTGCTGCGGGAGCGAGTGATCCTGTGGAGTTGCTCAAAAACCACAAGCAGAGGCTGCTGGACAAGGTTGCGCATCTGCAACAGGTGATATCTTCATCGAAATCTGCCCCTTACATCTCACAGTTAGAGCAGTAGAAATCACAAGAACTAGAATGCATTTCAAAGAGTCTCACATGGCATGGTACGCATAGGCCATTAGAAGTAGAGCTCTGAGTACACCAGGATCAGGATGCACTTGCAAGACTTCCACATGACACAGCAGAAATCAACTAGTAGTACGGCTTTACTTCAGTGTGGAGTTGCAGTTTTTCGTTTGACTTGACTATTGTAAACAGCTGGTTTATGTCAACAAATAAGACCACCAGTTTCTGGTTTTACTTGCAGAAGAAAGTATTGTGCACTGATACCATCAAGTATTACATTCCCTCTGCATGTTTATAGTTTTGGATACAGAATTAGCCACGGAATAAAAATAAAACCATGAAACAGATACAGGGAAACCTTCTTTTCTTGCATGCACATTACATGTTTACAACCTGGTCTTAGAATGACAGTATTGATTGTTGAAGCGCCTATCGTGTGAAGCCAATACATAGCATCTTGATACTTGATTGTTGAAGCGAGGCCAATAGTAGCTGTAGAATACAGTGGAAGGACAAATGCATAAGTAAACACAATGAAGTATCAGGCAAGACAAAGATCTGTAGAAAGCTATTCTAGGATCAGAAATTCCATTGGCTTGGTGATTGAATGGTGAACCAATGAATAACGATGGCTTATGTCTGAAAGATTATTTAAACTCAGGCTCACCATTCACAGGTATTAATCCAAACCATAAATTATACTGAGGTTTTCCGAGAAGAAATTTACATGGCTATGGCTTAGTGATCCAACGATTGAAGAATTTAATAGTCTTTACTTGGAAGCAGGATATAAAGGGAGGAATTCAAGAGGCTCGCCAAGCTGCTTCACTCTCAGCAAGTAAAAACCATGTAGTAAAAATGTAATCTGTGAAAACAAAAACACAAGGAACTCTTGAGAGCTAAAGAAAAACATTTTTTCCCTACAGAGTACAGACAACAAACAGATTGTACTGAAGCATATTTCTAAATATTGTCACACATCTTAGCATAATCTCCCAATATTAAGTATACATGACAATCATGTAGCAAATGCAGCAAGATAATACATCTTTACCTATGGGTGTACTTAAAAAAGGTCACTAGAAGAACTCATCATGATAATGTATACAACATCTGAAATTTTCATGTAATCTCCATGAAATGTGCATAGGATAATAATGGATTCTTGAAATAAATATGTTACAAAATGTTAAATAGCAGAAGTATGCTTGTCAAAGCTGGATGAAAAATGTAGCCCACTTTTCCCCTAGCAAATGCATTGTATGGTGTAACTTCAGTTGGAAAGTATACCCATGTATCATAAAAATATTAGCATGTGATTTCCCAGAAATGAAAACACAAATCAAATTCAGGAACTAAGTCGTCAGAACTGTTTTAGATCAGCAAAAGAAACTTTGCCTTTCTTTACTGAGCACCCTGAGCTTCAAAACATGAATGGGGAAAACTATTAGCAACTGACAAAAACACTTACTAGCTAATTAAAGGTACCAGTAATAATGCATAAGTACATCCCTTGCCATTGTTGTTTGGTGGAATGATATTATTCAGTTGAGGACATAGCACAAAGGAACTGATGGCTCCAACAACTGTAACTTTGACACATATCGTATTCTAAAAGTCGCCTTAGGCGTTAGGAGCTGGGTAGCCACCATGATTAGAAATTACCTGGTGCATTAGGCACATAATCTGCCTTGAGGGTTCTTGAGTGTACACTGAAGACTCTGAGAGTGTGTATACAATGAAGTATGTCCTGCACAGGCCAAGATGAGAGCGTACAAACAATGGAGCATGTTTTACTAATATTACGGTACGATGCATTCTGGGAACAGATAGTAGAAGCAAACTATTAATTTGCTAAGAAAATATTTAAGAACATGGGACTCATTGTTCATTGCTGTTTGCTGAAATATAGCTCCAGAAAATGCATCAGTAGTAATGATGACGATTTTTTCTGTTCACGTAGTTTCATCAATAGATTGTTTTTTTTTTCTCTCTTTTGTACTACTCCATACCTCTTGAGGATATGGATATCAAATTCTGCTCTACTACATTATTCAGAATCATCACCACCACATCAAAAAAAAAAAAGGTGAGTTCTTTATTCCAGTAGGTGAAATAGCTAGTACGTGTACGCCCATTACCTGAGATTTTCACTAAAACGAACGATTTGGTATTGATTTAAGATCCCTAGCACTAGCAGCAGAAGCATGGAGATGAAGGGATGAGGTGGGCACCTGCCTCCAATGTCCCCATGGGCGACCAACCAACCGGCGGTGATGACTCCCCTCTCAAGAGACGAACCTCCGACGAAAAGAGGGGCGCTGAAGAAGCCGACCGAACACCTCCTCGGACGTCGTTGAGGCGGAGGATGGGAGAGGATTGCGGCGGCGCTGCGGAGGAGTCGAGAAACGGCGGCGCCGCCACACAGCGGCCATCGGCGGCGGCGATTAATTCCACGGATCCCCCAACCAGCCTCCGCTGCTGTGTGGCCTTCGTCTTCGTAGGTTTTTGAGGTCTTTGGGCTGGCTAACTGTAACTGGGCTACTTCGGTTTACATGGGACGATCCGTGGGTTTTCGTTGTGATTTGGCTCACCACAACTATTTTTTTTTCTTTTAATATTTACAGAAATAATCTATCGACGCAAAAAATTACAAAAATAGACCCTGCCGCCCTAATGGAGGGTGGCAAGCTGATGTGGCAGACGGCGCCATCTGCCGCCGTCTGCGAAAATTGCATTTAGCCCCCTAAAGAGCATTTGGCTGGTACTTTTTTGCATCTGGACCCCTTGCCGCCCTGGCCCAGATGCAAAAAGTACCAGCCAAAAAGTACCAGGCCCGGGCTGGCTTTTTTGCATAGAGGCCCTGAGGGCGGCAAGGATTGTCGTGCAAAAAAACCCTCCCTCTCCTGTCTGCCGTCACCGTCCGTCCCTCCCCTGTTTGCCACGTCAGCTTGCCGCCCTCTACTAGGGCGGCAGGGTTTATTTTTGTAATTTTTTGCGCCGATGGATTATTTCTGTAAATATTAAAAGAAAAAAATATAAAAATGAAAAAAAATCCAACTAGTGTGAGTGGATCGATCTATAATAATAAATCTATTTATAGATTAAAATTATTAGGTTATCTACTCGTGGGTTGGCCCGCTTACATATTTAGGTCTGTCTACGTAAAAATGTAAGAATCAATAACAAAATTTGTGACACCTAAATATTCAGTCTCAATTGGTTCGGTGAAACATATTGTGTGCTAGCTAGGCCATTGGTCGATTGAATATCAATTCAACAACTAGGGGTCAGGTATATAGCAAATGTGCTCATTTTAATATACCACGCAACACACTCATAAAAACCGAAAAACACTTGACAGACACCGCGAGTGACCCACATCTTTACTAACACAGCTGGCCGGTCCACCAAGCCTAAACATCATCGAGTAACCGACCACATGTGTCCGACTAAAGAATCGTCATCACCAATACTGGCATAGACTATACCTCCGTCGCTTCCTCCGTGACAACTGACAAACACGCCACATTAACAGTCAATAGAGTATATATGTGGTAGTTATAAGAACAGGATTGATTTGTTTAAATTCTTCTTCTTCTATATATTCTTATTACATTCCTTATCTTTACCCAAGAGTACTTTAATGTATATAATGTTTCTAAGGCTCAATACAATCGTTTAATTATGCAGTAGTATTTCGGTATCAGAGCAGCAACCTAGGGTCACCGTTACTTTATGCTTTTTCATTGTTGCCCTTAGAAGGGACCGTATCATCTGCCATTCCAGTTCCAACTGGAATGGCAGAGGGCTACAGTGATCCATGCTATTGGCCACTTACATCCGTCGGATCAAGCGTGGACGTACGAGACCCGTCGCTACAGTAATTCTAATAAAGTAACCGATTGTCCGATGTTTCTACTGTTCCTCTTTGCCATTTACCCCCTAATGGCAGAGGATGCGAACCCATCTCCCTCGGGGCAACCACTTGTTTAGTCTTCGGCTTTTTCTTGTGTCATTGTGCATCGCCGCCAGATTGATCTAGATCCCCTCGGACGAGTCTTCTCATTCGTTTATCACGACTTCGTTAGCATATTCAAGCAAACAACAATTGCCATCCATCCTCGTTCTTGTCATTGCATTGAATGAGGCATGGTGCCATGGGGTGGGAGCGACGCTAGGGTGCACTGCGATAAATGCAACCAAGGGCTCGATGTCATTGTTGGAGTAGCTACATAGATTCTTAGGGCGGGTTTGGTTGCCTACATCAAGCTTGGCCCGCATCTGTAGATGCAACTTCCTCTTGTTTGGTTGCCTGTGCGGCCTTCTCAGCCTGGCCCCGCTGATGCAAAAAGGGCTTCCCAGCCAGGCTGAGGAGAAACGCTCGATTCGAGCTTCCGAGCGCAGCCAGGCCCGGTGGCTACAGCGGGTTGCATCCGCGGGTGCAAGGTATTTCTAAGTGGTAATATCAAAAAAGAAAAAGTATCCAAAGCTGCAAACCATGCAACCAACCAAACAAAATGTATTCCAAACTGTACATTTCATGCAATCAACCAAACAGAATCTCCTGCTAGCCAGGCTAAACTGATGCAAACAACCAAACAACCGCAAGTGCATCTCCTCGGTCAGGCCAAACTTAGCCTGGATGGAAGAGATGGGCCAAGATGAGGGGATGCAAGTAACCAAACACACCTTGTACCCACGGCCGGGGACTCGCCTGCTGCTTTCAACTATGGCTTTATGGTGCCGCTTGCTAAATCTAGCTATATTCATGGAGAAGATGAGATGAAGGAAAAAATACATGAACAATTTGGTCTAATATATACTCCAGTGTTAAAATATAAGTTATAATGTTCAGTTTCATAGGTATATATGGTGTTAAATTTAGTAATAGATAGCTACGTGTTAAAACGGAAGGAGTATGGACTAACCATGAAAATATAAAATTATAATGGCATGACTTGAATAATAATGATATCTTTTAAATGGCTGATATTTTTTAAAACTTAAAACTTATAATGGCATCAATATAATTAACTCAACCAGATGACCAACCTACGGATTATCTACTTAAGGTCAAGCCTCATTGCTCTCTGGGACCGACAGGTGGGTCCCGATGACCATTGACCACTGGCCCACATGCCAGTGAGTGTGTGCTTCTGGTTTCCCATTTTCCACTTCGTCGCTTCGCCCCACCCTGACTCCGCTCCAGATCTCCCCGTCGCGCTCCGCTCCGCCTCCTCCGCGTCGCCGTCGTCTTCCTCCTCTCCAGCCGATGCCTCCTCCCAAACCCTAGCCACCTCGCAAAACCCTAGATCCCCTCCCCCCCGCCCCACCACGCCGCCATGGATCCCTCCGGATCCGGCCCTCGCCATGACCGCCTCCTCATCTCCCCGTCGCTCTCCTCCCCGTCTGTAGAGATGGTCGCGATTCCTCCGATCGCACGAGGGTAGGGGGAAGAGGCGAGCGCTGCCAGGGGAAAGGGGACGGTGAAGAGGACTGCTCAGCGGACTCCATTTGTTAATCCGATCTCTAATTTGAAAGAACTGTATCTTTTCCGATTACCGGTTTTCTGTTCCAGGTGCAATTCTAATTTGTTTTATCTGAATTATCACATGGAATCGATTCCTTAATGAACTTTCCAACTGAAACTAACTGCTGCTCTGAGCAATCAATAATTTAGTTACTACTACCAATCAGGTTATATATATACCATGGCATTCTTGTTTTGGTTAACGATCTCTAGCTGACAAGATTCTGTCGTTGTGATTCCCGTGATTTTCTCCAAGTCGAAGGTGGTTAATTACTGTATCGACTTGGGCAGTAATCTGCAAAATTACAATTTTACCCCGCCCTCATATTTTTTTTTTGACAATTATAGCCCTCCACTTTTCTACTGCTGTTAAGTGAGGTGGTACTATAAACCGGTGGTAGTATAAACCGATCTAAACTCTTGAATAAAACTAGATGTGTGGTTTAGATTGTTTTCTACTGCTAGCAGAGAGCACCGTAGTGGGACTCTAATTCATAGGCTAAAGAAAATTTCACAAGAGAAAAATGCAAGAAATAAAGGTATCGTGCACATTTCTACTCCAGCTTGCTACCTCCATTCCTAATAGAGCACAATGGTGTATTTTCAACACATACATCACGATGTTGTATCAACACCCAGATAAACAAGTCACTTGCAAGTTCAATTAAAAGTTTATTCATTCAAAATTCATAACTTTTTACCAATACAACAAAGAAATCAGCTTTACACATTGATGGAAATGATAGATATAGAATTTTACTCTGCCTAATATATGTAAGCTCCTAAACAAAAGCTAGGACATAAGTTAAGTACATGCCATCACAAGAGAGAAAATAGCATACACCACAGTTGAACAGTTTGAAGTTGAGTATATGATAACAAGTGACATTATGCATACTATAGCCTAGGGCCTCTTGATGTTTCCACAATAACTCGTTTCCTGCAAGGCTCAATAACCTCGAAATTAACAGTTGAAGGGACTTTCCCTTCGATATATCTTCTAATAACTTGTGGAGCCCTATATGCTTCTATTAGATCTGAATCAGACATGAGCAACTCTCTGTCTAACTCAGATTCCATCCGATCGTCCGTAGTCATCATAATGCCACAGTCCCAGGATATGAATCTCCTAATTTCGTATTTGAAACCATATATTCTAGTGTCCAGCGTAAGGAACTCGAGTGAAGGCGTGTTGTCAAGAATGTGACTTATCAACTCAACTAGGGTCTTTGATGACATCAGTCCAGTGATCTTTACATTCTTCAGGTTACTGTAGTTGCATTTAGGAAGCTTCCTCAATTCCGAGGAATCTTCAAGAATGCGATCATTCTTAGTCCCGACAGAGTCCAACTGCATAAAAATATTGATGTAACAATACCACAGGTAAATAAGGTTTTGAAAGTATCAGTTCCAAAAAAAGCCTTGTTGCAGTTGTGATATATCAAACAGTTAACCATATCAGTCTATGTTGGTAAAGGTTATGTTTTCCTAAGTTTGAGCTAATGCTTTTAACCTTTCACTGTAGCTAGCTTTGAGACATAACAATAAACAATGACTTACATGTAAGACAAAAGTTTCCAAGGCTGGGGAAGCGTCAAGAAAAAAAACAAGAGAAAAAAAATCATAGCAGGGGGGTGATTCCTTTCTCGGTCCAATAAACACCATCTCCAAGTACCTGAGGTAGAGAAATTTATTAGGCACCATGGGTGTGTTGACATCCTACAGAAAATACATACAGAAAAAAAATTAGTATCATATGAAGGAATGACAATGATATGCCTACATCATTCTCCAATAATTTGAACATAAAAAGTACTATTAACTAGTTGGCACATAGAAGCTCAAACAAACCTCATCACGAGTCATTAGAAACAGATTTTCAACATTACGGGCAATGGTTGGAAGCTTGGTACGGGCATAATGGAACATGCGGTGCCAAGGGTAGAGCAATAGATTTACATCCCTTAATTGTACTGCATCTCCGAGTGATATTACTGTCAGTGGCCCTCGATAATGAAAACTAGAGAGCATTGGAGCATTTATCTCTATCATATCTAACCTATGGCTATGCTGCACACGCAGACAGTTGAGCTTTTGCAGCACACTTGTTGTCTTGAGGAAACCAATCTTGCAACAGGAAGAGATTTCCAAACTCTCCAAATTGAAAGAATTGGAGATGAAGCATGCCAATTCCTCCCCAGTAATGTCCACCCAACTCAAATGCACACTCTTCAAGCTTCTCAAGCACTCAAACTGAAGTGTTGGATGGAGCGTGCAGGAAGATAGGTGGAAAGATTGAACTGAATTTCCTCTACGGTTATCAGAAAGCAAATGTGAATATGGGAAGGTGTATTCTGTCTTGTTGCGTAGGGGAAGCTCAAAGGCGAATTCCTTGATTTTGAGTGTGCTAGCAGCCTTAAGCCAGCGATCAAGATGCGAGGGATGCACTGCATAGCCAGGACCAAGTTCAAGCTTGAATATCTTCACACCAACGCCCGAGTGGTTTCGCATAATGTTGTCCACTATGGCGATGAAATCCACAGGTGTCTCATTGTCATTAACACCTTTTCGGTTTAGCGCTAGGTTTTCTGCATTGAAGATGAGGTTTGGATAGCATCTCCAGGAATGTAGAAATGCATGAGATACGCATGCAGCACGGGCAGCGTCTCGCATTGGCACATGGGAAAGTATCATCAGCAGGAGATCCTGTGCAGGCATGGGAAATATATATCTTTGATATTAGAATGATAGTAGCTCTTGTTGTAAAACAATGTTACCAGTAATGGTCACTTTTTTTGGAACAAACAAACAGTGCATACAAGTGTGGAGTCAAACATGGAATATAAATAGAGCAGATGTAGCTTGAAACTGCAAATCCAAGACTCAGCAGGACTATTGGCATATTGTATTTTGTCGAATTAGTGGCTTATTCATTACAGCTAAAGTGATTCCACATTTTGTTATATCATTGATGGCTTCCATTGAAACAAATAAACATTACGCCAATCATAAAGGTGTGGAGTCAAAGATGGCATATAAACAGAGCACAAAAACATAACTAGTAAAAACCACAAATCTTATGCAACACAAGACTTAACAAGACTATTTGCATATTACTTTTGTCAGATTACCAGTGGCATCATCAAATATTTTATTGTACAAAGAAAGTGTCTAATCTGTCTAAAATTCGAAATGTGCAGGCAAACATGAAACTATCATATAGGTATTTAATTAATTTCCCTGTTGGACACTTCTGTTGTTAATACTTTGTACCTCTGGAAGGGAAGGAATATCTAGTTTCGTTGTTTTGTCACATGGGGAAGAATCATCTCGTTGGAGAGGAAACTCCTTTCTCTTGGTTGCAACCTTTCTTTCAGCTTGTGAAGTGCTCGACCCGCCTGCAATTCAGTTATGTCATAATCAGCGATCCAAATACTGGTGGTGACCAACAGGTAACCAATCTGAACTCGGTGACTGGTACCGGAACAAACCAGCCAATTTGAATATAAATTTTAAAATCTAAACTATATACCATCATATTGTTATAGTCTCATGCATCATATTCCGTATATTATGCCTCATGTCCCTCATCAGTCTATTCAACATAAGCTGGTGATACTATTTTGTTAAAAAAAAAGAAAAGAAAGGTGCCATCCCGAAAATTTTGGCCAAATTTCTGAATATCACTTTTGTGAAGATATAAAGAACGAAAACCTAAGAGGTCACAAAAATAGTTGGGATTTCGGCCAATAAACAATTAATCTAAGTTTGTGATCTTGAATGTTGTAGCACTTTGCCCTAATTGTCCGCTAAATCAAATAACTGGAAGTGTAGGTCGAAGGGATCAGAAACCACACAGAGAGAGAGGCAGAGGCATACCTACCCGCGGCCGCCACCGCCGCCGCTGTGGCGTGGATAGGTCTATCATCCCCACTCCCCAGGCGAGGAGTATCTCCTCCTCCGGATGAATCTTTGCGAGAGAAGATGACGAGAAGGAAGGCTCTGATCTGATGAATCCATTCCGGATCCCATCCCCACCCAGTCCCAGGATTGACCACGGTCACTGCAGGTGGGCCATGGAGTCTGGGCCCACTAGTACACGCGTGGCCTCTTCTACTAGGAATTTTTTTCGTTTTTAGATTTTTTTTTTAATATTTACAGAAATAATCTATCGGCGAGAAAATTTGCAAAAATAGACCCTGCCGCTCCAATGGTGGGCGGCAAGCTGACGTGGCAAACGGGGGAGGAACGGGCGGTGACGGAGGGTGGGTATTTTGCATGAAAACCCTTGCCGCCCTCTGGTGGGGCGGCAAGGGGTCCGAATGCAAAAAGAGCCGCAGGGGGCCGGCCATTTTGCAGGCGGCCCCTTGCCGCCCACTAGCCGGGCGGCAGGCCTCGCTGCCTATAAAAGGCCTGCCGCCCAGCCCCCAGCCCTCATTTCTCACCTCTCAACTCCAGTGAAAAAAAAGAAGAGAGGGGAGGAGAAGAGAAGAAGGGGCGAAGCCCTGCCGGATTCAGACGCCGATTTCAGGTAATATTCGTATATCCTATATGTGACTATTGAGTTAAATAGTGTGTATTTTTAAAAAATTTGTTTGAATAAATGCATTATATTTTTATGGTTTTAGTTGTACTAATTTAGAAGTGTGTATTGTAGATATCGGAACAACGTAGATCTGCTAGTTTGGAATCAATACTTTACCGTTGCATTGGCTTACACAAGAAGATATTACGTTGTAGATGTTTATTGCATGAAAGAGTAATATGATCTAGTTAATTCGTTGACAGATATGTCGAACAAACCAATATTCCAAGTTTACCATAGACCAGGAAACGTCCGTTACGGGCCAACTGGGGTAGATCTGTCAGATTTTATTGTATCAGAAAGGGGAATTGAGAGACCGGCTGAGAGGAGTGTACCTTCTATAAAAGGATGGTTAATGAGGGGCTTGAAAGTTGATCCACAGACAAGTGACATAACAATCAATGTTATAGTAAGTCGGGCAACTGAGGGTTTTTATTGGGAACTAATGCCAGTTCAAAACTCTCAAGTGTGGAGATGGTATGTGGAAAATGCAATGCAACGTGGGTGGCCTCTAGCTTTGGTTCCGTTTGTGCACCCGAAGGATCCAGGTGTGCAGATGAACATGGATGATGGCGAGGGACCAAGCGCTGAAGTAAATGAGACTTCTGTGGAGGAGGTCAACGCAGGAGTGGACAGGGGCGTAGTAGCTCCAGTGGGCATTCAACCAGGTGGAGTGGCCGACGAGGGGGAGACTGTCGCAGCCATTGTGGATGAAATGGAGAGGGAGGATTCTGACAACAAGCGTGTAGAGGAAGGTGATTCGTCAGATGAGGAGACGGATATTAATCCAGCAGAATGGGCTAGTCAGGATTTTTCTGGGCTGATCGTCTCTGAAGAGGATAGTGTGAGATGGGAGTACAAAGAAAATGAGGTTATTCAGGGAGCGATTTATAGTAGAGCAGAAGATATGAAGGAGGCGGTAAAACATTTTGCAGTGTCACTTCATAGAGAGTTTTGGGTTGCCAAGTCCAACCGGTCGCAATATGAAGTTCGGTGTGTTAAGGAAAAAGATGGTTGTCCCTGGAGAGTGCACGCGTATAAGGGGAAATGGAAGGATTATTGGACAGTGTCAGTCGTTACCAAGCATACATGTTTTCTACCTGGTGTTCAGAAATACCACAGGAACATTACATGTGCATTTGTCGCATCTGAGATGTATGCGCATGTCATCGATAATCTCACATACGAACCAAGGTCAATAATCCGACACATCGAGGAGACATACAAGTATACTATTAGCTATGCCAAGGCCTGGAGGGCCAAACAGAAAATAATAGAGATGAGATTTGGAACATACGAAGCCTCGTATGACAATTTGCCACGCCTGCTTGGTGTTATCGAGGAAAGAAACCCTGGGAGCTCTTACGAAGTGAAGAAATTCCCATCAATTGAACATCCTGGCAAGAGTGTGCTGTAAAGGGCGTTCTTAGCTCTACATGCATGCAAGATGGCATTCGTGAACTGTCGTCCAGTTCTCTGCATTGATGGGACATTCTTGACAGGAAAGTATCGGGGCCAGATACTGACAGCAATAGGGGTAGATGGGAACAATCAGGTATTGCCCTTGGCATTTGCTTTTGTTGAGAGTGAGAATACCGACAGCTGGTACTGGTTCCTGAAATTGGTTAAAACAAAAGTTGTTGGTATGAGGCCAAATGTGTGCCTGATACATGATAGGCACACTGGCATTCTGCGAGCGATAGAAGAGTTGCAGTTTGGGAGCATGGAACGAGGATACCCTGGTGTTTGGGACGATGTACAGAGTAGGTGGTGCATGCGTCATATGGGAGCTAATTTCTTCAAGCAATTCAAGAACAAGGAGCTCATGAACATGTTCAAGAGGCTGTGTAATCAGAACCAGGAGAAAAAATTCAATGAGCTTTGGAAGAGATTAGATGAGTTGACAGCCAAATGCAGTGATCAGCGTGCAGCGGCTCCATCGACTGCCGTTGATGACCCTCCTCAAGCTCTTGGACCTCTCCCAACGGATAGTCCAACTTTGGTTAGAAGAACTGGATTGGAGATTCAGAAATTTTCTCAGTGGATTCTGCATGAACCAAAAGAGAAATGGGCTAAGGTGTATGACACCGGTGGTGCTAGATATAGAATAATGACAACAAATTTGGCAGAAGTTTACAACTGGGTGATGCGCGGTGTCCGTGGACTGCCACTAGTTGGCATAGTGGAGTTCATTTTACATGGGACATGCAGGTATTTTAGGGATCGGTTCCAGGCAGTTCTTCCCTCTATGCCGAACAACAACATTTTGTTTGGAACTTTCATGCAGAAAAAGCTAGAGGAGTTGCGTAAAAAGGCCATGAAACATCGAGCTCTAGTGCAAGGTACCCAACAACATAGGTTCGAGATACTATGTCAAGATAAGGCAGGCAGGGGTATCTACCGCAAGAGAGTGAAGCAGGAGTGTGTTCTCAAAGCCGACGGCACATGTCATTGCTCTTGTTCAAAGCCGAAGCTGCTCCACAGGCCATGCACCCATGTCATTGCTGCCGCAGCGGAGTGTGGCATACCAGATGCAGTATATGTGTCGCAGTACTTCAGTAAGCAAGCAATATATCATACATGGAGCGGCGAGATTTACGGGTTCGGCATAGCTGGGGAGTTCACAGAGACTAACGATGAAGTACTCAATATTCCTGACCCATCGAAGCTCCGAGGCAAGGCTGGAAGGAGGAGGACTCGTCGCATCCGCAACAATATGGACGAGTCGGAGGCTGGCAGGGTAAAGCGTTGCAGCAAATGCGATGAACGTGGGCACACCTATAAGCATTGTCCTAAAGACAAGGAGAAACCAAGTGCGGCGGAGGCAGGACTATCAGGATCAGCAGTAGATGGAGCTCGCCCTACGGGTGAAGGCACTACCTCCACTCGACCACGTCCTAGGCGTCGTCGTGCCACGTCTGGCTACGTGGTGTAGTTCTTATGTTCTATGTTGGCATGTGGGTTTGCTTGTAATTTGTTTCGAACTTATCGATGTGTTTATGTTTCGTCGTGTAATTTCAGACTTCGGCTTGTCATGTCTTTAGGTCTCGTGATGTAACGTCAGACTAAGGCACGTAGTGTCTTTAGGTATGCTGATGTATGTCGGACTTCGACACGTAATGTTATGTTATGTTATATTATCGAACTCTACATATATGTTAAATTGCACGTCATCGTTATGTACCATTAGTAATGTTTGCTTTATTTAAATAGGCTGTACTCTTATTGTACGTAATTATTCTCATGATTTTTTTACTATTTCATTAATTTGCGAGTCATCTTTTGTTTTACATTACTACTTTTTGAATTGTTCTAACACGAAACACTATATTTTTCAGAGATGGCACGTCAGGATACACCTCAGTTGTTGGACCCGGCGATAGATCACCGACACCGGTCTCACCTTACTGCGGTGCAGGGGGCTCAGCTTGGGACGTTCCGGGCACGGACGTGCGGTGAGCTACTCACGGTTCACGACTCCTTTGTCGAGAGGTACGAACAGTGTTTTACTATAAGTTAGTTGCACTGTAATATTTTTTATAATGACATATTAATTTGTTATTGCAGGCTACGTGAGGCCGGCCTCCTACCGATGTGTCGGCTGGTGGAGGCTGCGGCCGGCGACGCGGACCCGGCCAGACGATGGACTGTGGACAGGTCCCTCCTAGCAGCTTTGGTCGATCGATGGAGGCCAGAGACGCACACTTTTCACTTGCCGTGCGGTGAGGTAGCCCCTACCCTACAGGACGTATCGTACTTGTTGGGGCTACCGCTCGCAGGAGACGCTGTTGGGCCAGTGACCACGGCTGTGGACTGGCAGGACGATCTGACGGCACGTTTCGCACTAGTACAGCGCGCACCGCACCTCCCGCTCGAGCCGTTGGCACACCACCGCAACACCGGACCTACGAAGAGGTGGCTGCTTCAGTTCACCGTGAGTGTTTTTGTACCGAAATGACAATCGTATTATATATTTAGTCCGCAGTTAAGGTGCCTAACATTTTATCGACGGCTTGCAGGTTGAGCAGCTACAGGCGGAGGCCGACGAGTACTCCTACAGCCGATGTTTGGAGGCGTACTTGCTCTGGCTTTTTGGCTGGGTGATGTTCTGTGGCAGTCACGGGCACGCGGTCGACAAGGGACTCGTGCACTACGCCAGGAGCATCGCCGACGCCGCGGTAGGCGAGGTGCCTCAGTGGAGCTGGGGTTCCGCGTTGTTGGCGGCTCTGTACCGTGCACTTTGTGAGTCTTGCACGAAGACGGATCCCAGCGCGACCTTTGGTGGGTGCCCTCTCTTTCTTTCTATCTGGGCAGCTGAGAGGATTGCGATCGGCCGCCCTGAGGTGGACCAGCACGCGTACGAGGAGTCACTGTACGAGGAGCGACCAGAGGTCGACTACCCTACGATGGGTACTCTGTGGTGCCGTCGTCAGGTACGTTGCATCGATCTTATCGTATTGTTAAGTTAATTGCTAAGTTCATTGTACATCACATCGATCGTCTCGTATTGCAGCGCCGATGGGCTCACGTCCAGGT